TTTTAGCCCGAGATTTTGCTTTTCTTTCATTATCAAATTGATTGGTTCGTTTTTCGAAAATAGCGAAACTTTGCATGCCATCTCGTATTCGCGAGACGCGAAAGATTTTCACTTTCAAGGAGAGAGAGAGAGAAAGAGTGCAAACACTTTCGTGATTCTGCATACGTGCATGTATATACTTATACCGATCTGGCAATTACGTCGCAAGGAAGAAGCGCCATCCTTATTTCGCCAAGCTGCGAATTTCCCTCTAAACTCGTGCTTTTCGACAATACGTTAGTTAAAAAGACTGGACAAGAGATCGCTCTACGCTCTACGCCAAATATTGCAGGAAGAACTGTGTGTGCTTTAGATATTTTATACAAATTTAAGAGAGAGAAAAAAAAAACTAATTTCGTTAATTAAGAAAAATTAAGAAAAAACTATATACATATGATAGAAAAGCGGATTTATTTTAGTAAGAAATTCGATCCTCTCTACATTGTTAGCCAACGTGCTCGCTCAATTTTGCATTTTTTTGCAAATTGTGTCTGCACTATGCACAAAGGTCCGCATAGTCTAGTTGGATCTGCCGCGGCTGCAGCCACATTAATGTGTCGACGACATTATATCGAAAGGTCAACGCAGCATTGGTCGTCTCTGGACACGAAGAACGTACGTCGCGAGCTCCGCTTTTAAAAGTCACCGGTACGTGACTGTACGCAAACAACCTAGGCGAATAAAATTCCACGCTCTGTTATCGTATCGTGCTCGAGCAGCGAAATTCAAGGAAGACAACGCGTCGATTCGAGTGGATGGCGTTTAATTATTCACCGGTGATCCTTGATTGGGACCACATTCCATCAAGGATTTCCCGTTTCGCTCTCGACCTTTGTCGCGATCGTCGTTACCATCTGTTGCAAAGGACGACCGTTTTTCCCTTGCTGCTTCGAGACATACATCGGTGCATTCTCACGCGAATGCAAAGATGCAAAAAATGCGTAGAACGCGTGTGATTTTTTTTCTTTATGTTCGTTTGCAACGCAGAAACGCACCGTGCACGTATCGTTCGAGTAGCCATTTTCAAATCGGCAATTTTCTTCGCCCAGGTCTTTCCAACCTTCCACGATCTATCGATTTTTCGAGTTTGCTTCTCTCTCTCTCTCTCTCTCTC